GGAGGAATAGGTAGGTATTCAGGTTATAACAACATAATTAAGTTGTACTTTCTGGCTTACTCCATCAGGAATAGGTAGGTATTCAGGTTATAACAACATAATTAAGTTGTACTTCCTGGCTTACTCCATCAGGAATAGGTCAATATTCAAATGCCTAAGCTACAGTAAAAATGTTATAGTAGAAGTAGAGACTGTGTTACTTGAAGTCAACTGATATTCATATGTATCCCATTTAGAGTTTAGTTTAGAAAATTTTTTATGTGCATTCTGTAATTGAACAGATGAGATTTCAACACTTTCTTTGAATTCATATAATTGTGATGATATGAGCTGTAATTGTGATATGACATATAATTGTGATGATATGAGCTGTAATTGTGATATGACATATAATTGTGATGATATGAGCTGTAATTGTGATATGACATCAATTACAGCTCCTATCATCACAGTTACACGTCATACCACAATTACAGCTCCTATCATCACAGTTACACGTCATACCACAATTACAGCTCCTATCATCACAGTTACACGTCATACCACAATTACAGCTCCTATCATCACAGTTACACGTCATACCACAATTACAGCTCCTATCATCACAATTACACGTCATACCACAATTACAGCTCCTATCATCACAATTACACGTCATACCACAATTACAGCTCATATCATCACAATTACAGCTCATATCATCACAATTACAGCTCATATCATCACAATTACAGCTCATATCATCACAATTACAGCTCATATCATCACAATTACATGTCATATCACAATTACAGCTCATATCATCACAATTATTGGTATGACGTGTAACTGTGATGATAGGAGCTGTAATTGTGATGGTATGACGTGTAACTGTGATGATAGGAGCTGTAATTGTGATGGTATGACGTGTAACTGTGATGATATGAGCTGTAATTGTGTTGATATGACATGTAATTTGCCTAGATTGCTAAGAATTAGTATTAATCAGTATTCTTCTATATGTAGTGTATTTCAGACAAGTGCCTTGTAAATGTTATGACTTTGTACCTATAAATTTTAATAAATGTATTTACATGTAGCTCATATAGAAAAAATAATAATTCAACCCTAGAAGTACCGATGAGGGTTCAAATGGACCCCATAAACATCTTATAAACTGTTTTATATACCATATTGCTTATAAATTCATTACTTTCTTACAAACAAAAAAAGTGATTAATATTGTAGCTAATCGTATTAACAACTGCTGGCACCCTCTAGGTATCTTACATAGAGTGATTTCCTACCAATTTTGTTTGGCCAATACTTTACATTGAGTGTTATGATAGGCAAAAAAATGACAATATTCAAAATCATGTGATACATGAACCCTGACCCCACTAGTAGTGAATGTATAAAAACAAGTAGGTAACTTGATCATTGTCTCACAAGAGCGATGCTTGTCGGAGTCTGCAGGTGTTATCAGCCTTACTTGTTCTTATTTCCAGAAAAGTTCTTCACTTGTACCACAGAATATGTTTGTAATGTTTATCCTCTTTGTTGTAAATATTCAGCTTATTTATCATTATTAAACACTGACTGTTTTTTTTTCCTATAGATTTGTCTGGGTTGACTTTACAACACTCGGGTGAAACATCAGGTAAGGTAATGATGCATAAATAAGTAAATAAATTTTTTAAAGATTTATTTAATTCTTGTATAATGACACGAGAATGTGGTATGAAAGTGTTATTTAAAATACTATAAATGTAAACCAAATAATGATAAAGTTTTTTTAAAAAAAAAGAAACTTAAGAATCGTTGTATTTTGCACCAAGCTTGAGTTATTTTCAACGTACGTAGAGTATTGTATAACTCAATTAAAACAGTGTTAAACAATGATGTATATGTTTATCTTGTATATATTGTGAACTGTGGTGTCTGTCTGAACAATCGTCTCTCTCCTGTTTACGGCAGCTACCTCCCGTGCTGCATTTGAAAAGCTGGTAAAGCTCAACATTCATTTTTGAAATGATGGAAGAACAGCCATGAATATTATTGATGGCAAATTTTATTTTGCAAGCATGATATTCTACACTAAATTTTAGTAATTAATCACACTATCATTCACATTTTTTAAATGTGGTATAAGTTAAAGAATAAGAGTGTAGATTTACCATCATGTGTTATTGTTGAGCAGCTCTTAGCATGACAGAAATACTCAACAATTATTTTTTGCATTGGGCAGTATAAATAGCTCAGAGCTTTGGCTCTGAGTGAAACCAAGAGTGCAACACAATTAACCTTTTTAAAGTCCTTGAAATAATTCAAATTGATAGAGTAATTTAAACTTTTCTTGTCACTGGGGACGGTTACTTTAGCTTGTTGATTATACTTCAAAGTATGTATATTATTGTTTAAATCAACTACCTGTTAAACAGTGATGTTTATTGATTTTACACGCTTGACTTGGCCAGTGGTTGGTATTTGTTCATTGGTGGAGATTGTGGCATTAAGAGTTTTGTAATATTTATACACATGAAGACAGTTAATAACAGAGCAATAAATATTTCTTAATGACATAACATTTCATCAGTGGCTTCTAAAAACATATGAACATACCATACTTTTCATTAGTTAGGTCAGAATATTGAGTATTGGCACTTGCATGATTTAAGTGAACAGAAATTACAAAGTTTTGATCTGAATATATAAATCTAGTAATAGTAATAAATAGCTACTAATGTGTTTCCCTCGAACGCTAAAGAGATATTAATCTGAATGCATGACATCGGGTGCCTAACAGAGAGAGACATTATATCCCCAGTAGTTGGTGAGTTTTACAATATTCAGTTTCCTTCACTTAGGCACTGTTTATTCTAGTAACGAAGTGTGAAATTACAAGTTTTTCATATTTAAATGGTTACTGTGTTGGTTTTAATGCTGTAATATATAGCTATATAATATGATGATAGATTGTATTTGCAGATAAAAGTTAATTTCCTTAAATTTTTTGTTGTTAGTTTTAAACTCTCGTGTTAATCTTCGAAAGATGTTGTTTTACTGTAACAAAGTTTTGGTATGATGAAAAAAAAAAGAATCCTGTGTGATCCCACATCAAGGCCAGCAGCATGCAGTGTCTGTATTTGGAGGGGCAGAAAATAGGCTAGTCAAGAACGAGTATGGAAAGCTGGAAAGTGGACCAGGTGGGGTACAAGCCCTACAACACGTGGGACCGCAAACTGTACAACACCATCCAACCCCATCCCATGATGCTTTTGGCCGAGCTGCTGTTCACCAGCCAGCGGGTAAGTACATTTTTACTTGCTCATACTTTCAAGTGTAGATTTGTTTGTATAGTGTTTAGTCTTGTTGAGATTTTAAAAGCTTTATAAATCATTTTATTATAGAGAAATATTGAGATAGCATTCAATGACTGGATATTACCTAGACTTGCAGGAAATGATGGAAGTAGTCATTTATATTCCCATCTAGTATCTCTACGTGTCTGTAAAATACTGACGTGTAGCATGTGTCTAGTCTCTCTCTCTACGTGTCTGTAAAATACTGACGTGTAGCGTGTGTCTAGTCTCTACGTGTCTGTAAAATACTGACGTGTAGCGTGTGTCTAGTCTCTCTCTCTACGCGTCTGTAAAATGCTGATGTGTAGCGGGTGCCTAGTCTCTCTATGCGTCTGTAAATGCTGACGTGTAGCGGGTG